TGTGCAATGATTACTTGAGAAGATTTCATTTACGAATTTGGTGTTTTACATTTCAAATCAATTGGAAATTGATCGAGAAGAAAATATTCACTGTCCAAGAATGACAAAGGTGAACAGTTGATGTCATTTGAGGAACGGTATGGAAAGTAAATGAGAAAAGCGATTTCACCTTAATAAGACCATTCTTCCGCCTTCTTCGTTCTAGCCACGATAGTTTCACGTGTTCTGTGGAACAATTTCGCTCGGCAGCATCGTACGTTTTGGGAGAATTCTCCGAGTTCGTTGAAACACTCAGAAGAGGTTCTTTCTCGTTCATTCTATTATTAAATATTGAGAATATTTTGCATAATTGTACTTGAAATTGGATTTCCTGTAATAGTAAGAAATTTTATCGAGCAGACAAGTGTTATTTCTGAGGCAATCGCGAGAAAGTTATCACCCAACGCTAGATAGTTAGGCGAGAATGAACGTTCGTTCTGCTTAAGGCTAGATTTTCTATACTTTTTCCGCATTGCATTTTTTGGGAAATGGTGATTATCATAACCATTTTTTGTCTTTCTAAATCAATTTTTATCACGTCGTTTGATTATCGTCATCACCGATATTCATCGTTTTATTATACTGATCATATTCAATGTGTAACAAAACGATAAAAGAATTGGATATTTAATAAAGATTTATTCATCACTGAATCAGTATGAATTACAGTTATAAAGTTGAAATGAATAAGATTCAAACGAAACCGCACTTCACAAGCGTATACCTATCACCAACACTAGTACAATCAATCGACAGCTTTTATTCTCTCCTATTACGTAACAATCCGTTTGTTGACTGAAGTGATCTTCGCGAGCACTGACCAGCACCGTTGTGACAACGGTACTAATCACTCAGTCGTTCGTAATCAGCTGATAACTTTCGTTATCTTTATTTGACGATGCGAGTCCCAAAAAACCATTCATTTTAGATATCCGCTAGTATTGTTATTGCCAAGAAATTGCCGTGAATATTATCGATGAACACAAATTTTTTGAATGCGACAAACTACTGATATGTCCGAAAATCCCAAATGTTAGTCCAAAATCCCGTGAACCAATGTATCACACAAAGTACACAAGTCGGTGGTCAAGTCTAATAGTCCAATTGATCCATTCGACATGTCCATCTCCCGACAGGCAATTTTCGATAAAGTGGCATGCTAAAGTTTTCAGGCAGTATGAAGTCTTGAACGAAGCGCTTCCAAGTACGTGTTTCAGTTCGAAACTGAAGGATGATGACTTTGAATGGTGAAAGTTTCATTGCTTATTCTACAACAAAACGCAACAATTGAGAATATAAGTTCAATGAGAAGCGACGAAATTGAGTTTTTCGTCACTAATTGCTGGTGAAAGTAATCTTCGAAATTACTGACGGGCATCTCGCCTAACGTGAACACTGACGTTGAACAATTTGTTTGCGTCTGATCAGTTCAGCTCAGAAATTTTGCACTTGTTGTTGTTCATTTAGAAACTTTCATTACAGCAGTGATATCGTCGTGGAGTTCTCATCAACATTAATATTTCATATGAAGGAAGGCATGATAGTAAATATTTACGGTTACATGTCTTGTGATCATGGATCATATGATTTAATGTCATATCTCGTTATCAGCTGTGATCTCTGTTCATATCATCCGCTCGACACCATGTTTTTGCGTGACAATACAATAACTTATTAAAGTTGTAGTGAGTATCATACCTGAAAAGTATGCAGAACATGTGAGCAAAGGCCACAAGTGATAAGATCAAACAGCAAAACATCATATAACTTGAGGGCACAAGACCTACCTCAAATAGGCTGCCAAACATAATCCCCTTCAAACAAACACAAAACGTAAATCGATAACATAACCTTTTCCAGTAGTTCTTGATCAAATTGATTCTTTTGATTGACTAGTCACCGTGTTTGTGTTATCATATAACCGTTGTTTGGGTTTCTTTCGAACAAACACTGATAATGCACACAACTTCATTGATAAATGTGATGTGATGTGAGTTTATTATCAGAGCAAACGATAATACTTCCAATGCAAAAAACCAACCAAGTGATGACATTCCCATCACATTACTATTAATTATGTTGAGTAGTGATCATTGATTGCGTCATCCAGTGTATATCAACATTCATGTTGCCTTGCTGAATAGCTTGATAAAATTTGATTGCTTATGAAAACGAAGGAAACTGACGAAAAAAAATTCAAAATTAGACAACCACATGGGAATGCGATTTTAATAATGTACAGTTTGAATGTATAACATTGGAACTGTTAAAGCAACACAGAAGTTACAATTCAAGAATGTCAATGTGTGAAGAAAATTGAAAAAGAAACAGCACAATGACCAAATTGATACTCAGCGTTGCAATTGGTTATCTTCATAGTGTTCAACCATTTTTTTTCAGATACTGCAGGCAACCTTTGTATCATACATTCATTTCAAATATATTTTCGTCCTTACATTAGGATCTACTTTGGCAAAATGAACACATTCGATTGATCCTCAAAGGAGATGAAAATTCGCAATAAACTGTTCATGAACATTCTGATAGCTTGAAAACATTTGCTAATCTCAGTATGTGCAATTTTCATTTTTTTGTGAGCGACACTGCACTGAAGCAATATGTGAAGTAGTCGATTCTTGGATTACAGTTCTTAATCCGAGTCGAAAAATCAACTGAATATGGACGGGGACAAAATGTGTGAGGTTGCTGTACCGGTAGAGTTGATTGCAGGCGAAAAAGCGTATGGAGATAATACGATAAGTGAGTAATAGAGTGGTGAAAAGAACAGTGGGGATAACAAGAAGGGACTTAAAATGACAGCACCCAATGCGGATTTCTGGAAAACGCTCGGATTTAAGGCGAACGGACTGAGGATAACTGGAGATAGAACATTCGGTGACAGAATAAAAGGTGATAGTATACTTGGCGAGAGAATTAATGGATTTAGAGCTTGAGGACTCAACACAGTCGGTCGAAATAATAGCGGTGATAAGATCAGTGGCGATAAGGCGTATGGTGATAAGATTATTGGAGAGAGTAGAACTGGTGAAAGGATAGCGGGAAAGAACAGATATGGACTGAGTATGACGGGTCCGAGAATTGATGGGGCCGAAATGGAAGCAGACAGAAGAATTGGTGAGAGAACGGCGAACGAAGATACTCGGTTTGTGATCAGTTGGAAAAGTACCGGTGAAAGCACAGACTGTCGTTTGCGTCGTTTGAATACCGTTTGTTGAATGGGATTTGCCAAATGGCGAATATCGGAGAGCAACCGATCAACGATATCATCTTCAGAGAACGATGAGAAACGCTCTAAAGAAGAGCGATCGTTGAAAGGTGAATTTTCACCATAGATCATGCCTAATTGATCCTTCGTTAGAACAGAGAAACCCTTCCGCTTGAAATCGTCCAACTGAAACTGCAGCTACCGTGAGCAAAGAAATGTTGTTATGAATATTGCAAACAAGCATCAAGCTCCACTCAACTCAGAATGCATTCACAAAAAACAACGTTCCGCGTCAAACAGAGCAGCAAATTTCCTTAAGCCACGATGTGCAACGTCAGTGAGTGTTGAAAAATCAACGTTGAGATAGGCTTTATGATCAGAACATTCAACAGTGTAAGCTGACCTGTTTCCTGGTGAGACCCTCTGATAACGATTCGAATACTTCAACCTTCCTCGCTCCTTCTTGACTGGAGATTTCCGTGAAATTCTCCTTAGTGAAATAAAGTGGCTGATTATCGATGCCCCGAGGCATAATTTCTAAATTGAGTCCTATTCTACTCAATTTTTTCGCCTGAAACAGTATCAACATGAATCACTTGAAAATTTCCGACTAGGCCAGTGGTTCTCACGTTTCGGTGCTCCATCATCCCTTGTGATGATCTGACAGGCCGCAGTTACCTCCCTCCCCCCGGAACACAAGACTTACTATTTCTACGTATAACGTCAGAAATAACTGCACGAGATACTGATTTCCTGGCCCCCTCCATTACCCTTTGACAACTCCAAATTACCCAAAATAAGTAATTTCATTCCCTGAGAGAACCATTGAACTGGGCACTCGATCAAATAGTCTATCAAAACATTAAAATCAATCATCTATGAGTTCTTCATTTCTTCGAATCCTTTGCGGCGGTTCACAAATTTACATGTTCTTGAGATGGAATTGTTTTGCGCGAAACCAACGATATTGTTTACATTTCGTTCAATTCGCACCAACACAAACGATCATGAATGCTAAATTCTAATCTACCTTCATATATTCTATCACATCTGAAACACCCGATGCTTCCAGTACAAAATCCATCCATTCATTGTGGTCTTTGTTCATTTTTCTCAAAAGCTTTGGCAAATTCACCAATACTTCAGACGCATCTCCTTTTTCGTGTAAACTGAATATTGATGGTGAAAAGAGTGACACCTGCAATTACTCGACACTCCTCCACAATACATCATTTCATCAATTCTGATTCTTCCATCATCCCTCAGTTCATTTCATTAATTCGAATGAGCGAAACGTCGCATTTTCGGTACGCGGTCAATCTGCCCAAAGGCATTTAGCTTAACGATGGTTTACCTAAAGACATATTGCCTAACGGACAATTTGCTGAACGGACATTTTGCCTAATGGACATTTTGCCGAACATACACTTTGCCCAGGGAGCAGTTTGCCTACTAGGCGAAATATCAATTAAAACCGTAAGTTAGGCAAATTGTCCGTTAATCAATGTGTCCTTAGGCAAACTGTCGTTAGGCTAAATGTCTTTCGGCAGATTGATCGGCCAAGGAATTTTCGAAATAATAGAACTGAATAAAATTCATTGAATTGAAACGTTGCGCTACCGTATTATCCTCCGGAACAATGGAAAGTAAGCGTGGTGAAGCAACTTTGATTGTTTTATTTGCAATATCGCTTTCGTTGTGTCCAGATAAAGTCATCGCTAATTGCATAGCTTCTCGAAGCAAACGCATAGTCTCGGTATCGGTTTGCTGCTTCAGATCAGCTGTCAAATTCGCAGTTTCAAACGTTTCGTTTGGCAACATTAATTTCTCGCCTCTTCTCTCGTCTTTCTGCAAGCACTAGGTTAAGTGATGTGAAATCTCAGGCTGTTTTCCTGATAACTCTATCACACTATGTCAAAACTGAGGAAATTTTAGTGCCCTAATTAAGAGAATCATCCTTTGGCGGAGATAATTTTTGTTCATCGATAGCACAGTTCACAAATGGGTCGCGATCCAAACATTCGAAGGGTTACTTTAAGAAGAGCCAAACGATACAAAAAAGGCTTCTTGTGAGATTAGTCAGCAAGTGAAATTCATCTGAATTTCATGACCCCAAATTGATCGTGGGATCAAGACATGGAATTTTTGGGCACCTCTGTGATCTTTTGTGATTTGGTGAGGATGATATTCATTAAAATTGATGACTGACTGCAGCAAATACCTTTGCCTTTTCATCCTTCATAAAATTGCGTGATATTCGGTTTAGCGAGTCGAATTTGCCCTTAAGAATCGACTGGAACGTGTTCATATCATGCACACTGCTTTGAATACCTTCAACATCTGAAGTCAACGTTCCCCATCTAGAAATTTCGAAACATTTCCTAGGAGGTACCATGAATCGTTGCTAACTGATCAATAGAGCTAAACAAGGTTAGAGCTGAAC